GTATGCTCAATACAGCATCATGGATTTGAGTGAAGTCAGAACTCCTGATCTGCATGCTTGTGTCATGCACCACCTGGCGGAGTCTCTAGCAACCCACAGCATGGGGTTCCTCAGGGCGCGGGGTCTAAGTCCCAATCTGCTTATTCACCAGGGCCCCTGATGGTGGGGATGGACTTGGAGCAGTGGTAGAGAGCACCGTCAGGGGTGTGTGGGGAAATAGAGCTTGACGTGAAGAGGCTGGCAGGCCTGGTAACAGGGACAGATCCGTGGATGGATGGATGGATCGTCAGGGTAGTGTAAGGAGTAGTCAGGCAGGCCAGGTCAGCAACGTGCGGGCAGCGAGGTACCAGAGGAGCAGGCAGAGAATGGTCAGGGTCACAAGCCGGGTTCAGCAACTAACGGGCGGCGTGGTACAGGGGAACAGGCAGAAGAATGGTCGGGTCAAGCCAGGGGTCAAGCAGGAGACAATCAGCAGGGTCAGGATCAAAAGCAGAGGTCGGCAACAGGAAGCTTCACAGGATCAGAATACAGGAACAGGACAATAAGACCAAACGGCAACTTGTGTCTGTGCAGGGCTGGTTTTAATAGCCCGCCCGGTGCTGACAGGTGCGCCTGGGTCCTAGTGCCTGCCAGCACCGTCATAGGTGACAGGCGCGCCTGGGTCCTAGTGCCCGCCTGCCTGCATGTCTTGTCGGACACCTACGCATGTGCAGACTCGTGCGTCGCAGTGATCCCTGACAGCTTGTTCCAGGTCTGTGCCACACAAAGTATTAAAGCCATTAGACCAACACTAGATCAGCATGATAGCATTTTTAGAAGCAGAACTCATCATTGGCATCTCCCAAGTTCTCTGTGCTGGCTCCCTATAATTATTATGTATAAACATATTCTGAGTCAATATAAAGATTTAGCAAATTACAGTAAATGTTTATACCATGGACTATGAAACGAGCAAAGGGCATCAGTTTTATGTGGAAGTTCTAAATAAAAGCAGTGTTTTTGTATAAGTACAGGTTACTGCTTATGCTGTGAAACAGACATTAACAGCAAGGAGACCAGAATACAAATGTGCAGACTGAGTCACATAAGACGAATACACCTCTTTTTCTTCTTAAGAGACAGGGCACTCTAGCCTAATCAGTTATACTTAGACTGCCAACAAGCATACAGGCAGTGCTTCCTTCAAATTCTTGGAAAGCCCAACATTGCTTTCCAAGTGTCATAGGGACTATCCTATAGTATACATATTACTGATTAATAATATTAATAATTAAATCTATTTAAAGCATCAGTTTATAATATAACAATTGACTAGAAATTATGCCCAAGGGTTGGGTTCATCATGTGAGTACTAGATATTTTGCAAGGTCTGAAACAACTTGTGAGGCAAGGAATGAGCACTGCTGGGATAACAGAAGGTGAACAATACATGGATGGACTTGGAGGAAGCTTTGAGGAGCTTGAGATCAGGTTCCCAGTGGCTTTTGTCACCTTGAAATAATCGTGTGAAGATCCAGGATTATCTGACATAAAGGGAGAGATTTAAGCTTGTTGACTTGTACCAGCATTGAGAGGGAAAGCACTGTCTCGTGAATATAGACAGTGTCGTAGGGTTGAGACAGTGAGAAAAAGCATGTTACTTGAGTAAGGAAGAGGTCCTTAGTAATAAATTGTGTCCCTTTCATTTTAGCAACAAATCAATAAAGTATACTTTACTTTATTGATACTCTGTCTTTAAAGAAGTCGTCTTATGTCTAGAGGAAAAGAAATTTAATCTCCAAAGATGAAAAAGGTTTCTTCACAGTGAGAGCTGTGAAAATGTGGAATAGACACCCTCAAGAGTTGGTTCTGGCCAGCTCAGTGGATTGCTTTAAAAAAGGCCTGGATTCTTTCTAAGATACACAGAATATAACTGGATACTAACATTTATAGGTAAAGTTGATCCAGGGAATATCTGATTGCCTTTTGGGGGATCAGGAAGGAAGTTTTTTCCCAGCAGGAGCGAATTAGATCATGCTTTGCTGTGTGTTTTTTTCCTTCCTCTGGATCAACTTTGGGCAGGGGCGGACTGACCATTTGGAAACTCGGGCACAGCCCGAGGGCCCGGGGTGAGTAAGGGGCCCCATGAGATGCTCCTGGTACCTTTTTCATAGGCTTTTTTGAGTTTGGGCAAGGACACAGGGGCCCCATGATCCCCTATTGCCCGGGGGCCCCATGAGTTGTCAGTCCGCCCCTGACAGTGGGTAGAGGATTATAACTTTTTTTTTTTGTAATGGTTGAACTGGATGGACTTTTGTCTTTTTTTCAGCCAGACTAACTATGTACGTCTTGAGTAGTAGAGTAAGGGCAGGGATATTACTGTTAAACCAATTGTATCCCTTTCTCTTTAGGAAAACAAAATCTATGGAAAAGTATACATTATCGATATACTGTCTTATCCTTTTGCTATGGGCACAGGTCCCCAAATGCTTTTGTCACCTGAGTATTAAAGAGGTCTTGAATAGCAGAGCGGGGAATAGCAGAGCAGGGATGGGAAGGTGAAGCCCTGTCACTAGAGGGCCAAAGTAGTGGAGTGGAGACAGGAGGGAGAAGACATTTTACGTTGGAACAGAAGCCATCCTAAGCAGCATAGCAGAGCCAGGGAGGTGAAGCCCTGTCACCTGAATATAGCAGAAATCCTGAGTAGCGGAGTAGGAACAGTGAGGCAAAGCTCTGTGACCTGAGGATAAAGGAGGCTCCAAACAGTGGAGTATAGACAAGAAGGCCAAGACTTGTCACCCTGGAAGAGAAGCCATCCTAATCAGTAGAACAGGGACAGGAAGGTGGAACCCCATCCCCTGAGTGTAGAGAATGTAAATGTATTCTTAATTGATACTTTGTATTTTCCTTTTATAATGGACACAGATCCACAAGTGCTTTATGTCACCTGAGTATGGAGGTCCAGAGTAGTAGGGTGAAGCCCTATCACCCGAGGATAGAAGAGGCCAAAAGTATTTGAGTGGAGATCAAAAGGTGAAGACTTTTCATATGGGTACTGAACTCATCCTGTCCTGTAGAGTAGGAAAAGGAAGGTGAAGCCCTTTCACCTGAATATAGGGGAAGTCCTGAGTAGTGGAGTAGGAGTGGGGAGGCAAAACCCTGCTATCTGAGGACAGAGTGAGGACTGAAAGGTGAAAGCCTGTCACCTGAGGATAGAAGAGGTCCCAAATAGTAGAGTATAGACAAGAAAGCCAGGTCTTGCAACCTGGGCAAAGAACCTATCCTAAGCAATAGAGCAAGAACAGGAAGATGAGCCCTGTCACCTGAGTATAGAAGATGTCTCAAGTAATAGAGTCGGAACAGTAAGGCAAAGCCCTGTCACAAGAGGTCCTTAGTAGTAGAGTGAGCAATCTACCATTAAACCAGATGCAAACCATTTCTCTTTAGGAGAAAATGTATATAAAAGTGTATTTAATTGATATGCAAGCAGTAGAGCAGAGATAGGAAGGTGAAGCCATGTCACTTGAATATAATGGAAGCCCTGAGTAGTGGTGCAGGTATGAGGAGGCAAAGCATTTTCACCTGAACAATAAAGAGGTCTTGAGTAGTAGAGTAAGGGTAGGACAGTGTAGCCCTGTCACCTGAGAATAGATGAGGGACCAAACAGTGGAGTAGAGATAAATAGGCCAAGCCTTGTTACTTAGGTACAGATGCCATCCTAAACAGTAAAGGAGGCAGAGGAAAGTGTAGCCCTGTCACCTGAGTATAGAAGAGGTCCTGAGCAGTTGAGTGGGGACAGCGAGGTGAAGATTTTCACCTAAGTACAAAAGAGGTCCTGCATAGTTGGTTGAGGGAGGACACAAAAGCCAAGCCCTGTCAAGTGTCTATAGATGAATTGACCCTATTTACAAATATATTACAAGGATTACTTCTTAGTCTCCTGATAACGATTTGGAATGGCTAGCAGGGACATGAATTCACATACTGATTGGCAGCTAAAAGTTATCATCTCCTCACCAAAAGCAGAACAAATAAATGAAATTATGGCATGGCAAGTTAATACTTCTTGTTTTCTTGGCAGCTGGACGTTTTAAGATATTTCTAGCCTGGAGCTGAATTTTTTTTCTGCCAGGATGTTTGAAATATGTTGAAGGGGAAAAAAAAACATTCATTAAATTCCAACACTTTCTGTGTATTCTTGTGAAAGACATTGTGCCAATATCTCAGTAAACAGAACATTCAACGGGGATTAATTTTCATAAAGTTAAACGGTCTATTTATTTGCTTTACGTTAAGGCTGCTTTTAATGTAGTCCTGACTTGGTGCATTCATTGGTATTGTCTATTATGGTATATAAAGGAATCCATTATAAGGAAGGTTTTACTAGCATGGCATTCAACTGAAATAGTCTGTTTTGCTTTTTTTCTGTCTCAAAAATCTGAGTATTCCAAATTAAACTCCTATAATTCTATAAACCCCTATTCACTATCTTGTCATAGCCTTTCATAAAGGTGCTGATATCAGTGATATTTTAAATACCAACATAATTTAAAGAGACCCTGTTACCAACTTAGAAAACTGCAAAGAAGAAACGTGTATTTTAAATGCTTACTTGAAGCATTTTTCCTTTCCATAAAAATTTTTGACTTGTAAAGTGCCTTTAAGCTTGCTGGGTTATTCGACTACGTCAGAAAGAGTCAGTTCTCTAGCAATTCTTCTAGCAAATCATAGCCCTCTCCTCTTCTGAGGCTCCAATTTCTGTCTATGCTGGCCCAGCTACTCTGTTCCTCATTCCCCTATATAACCTTTTATTTAGCTGCCAGGGGAGAAGTGATGTGGAATAGTATAGGGCAGTGATGGCGAACCTATGGTACGCGTGCCAGAGCTGGCACGCAGAGCCATCTCAGTGGGCACGCCAGGAAGAAGAGGAAGAACGCGCTCTCCTGCGCACCCCCGGGGGCGCGCACCGGGCGATCTCCGTGATCGCTGTGTCCTACGGACACAGCTGATCACGTGATGTGGTAAAAGGCCAATCACAGCGGCCTTTTACCACGCGATCAGCCGTGTCCAATGACACGCTGATCACCGGGAAATGCAAATGCCGGTTCTCGGCTGCACTTTCCTCACGCTGTCAGATCGTGAGGAAAGTACTGCCGAAAACCGGCAGCTGTCAGAGCAGGGAACGGCACCGATCATCAGGGTCACTGATCATCAGTGCCCTGATGATCGGTGCCCAGCAGTGCCACACACAAGTTCCGCCCACCTGTGCCCAGCAATGCACCCACCTGTGCCGCCCACCTGTGCCCAGAAGTGCCACCCACCTGTGCCCAGTAGTTCCACCCACCTGTGCCCACCAGTGCCACCCACCTGTGCCCACCAGTGCCACCCACCAGTGCCCAGTGCAGCCCACCCACCAGTGCCACCAGTCAGTGCCCAGCCCAGTCAGTGCCCAGCAGTGCCGCCAGTCAGTGCCCAGCAGTGATGTCAGTCAGTGCCACCTATCAGTGCTGTCTATCAGTACCCATTATCAGTGTCGCCTATCAGTACCACCAATCAGTGCCGCATATCAGTGCCACCTATCTGTGACACCTCATTAGTGCTGCCCATCAGTGCCACCCATCAATGATGCCCAGCAGTGCCGCCGGTCAGTGCCGTCTGTCAGTGCCTCCAGTTGGTGCTACAGTCAGTGCCGCTTATCAGTGCCCAATTTCCTGCATATCAGCATCATCAGTGCCTCCTCATCAATGCTCACCAGTGCCGCCTCATCAGTGCTCCTATCTGTGCCGCCTCATCAATGCCCATCAGTGCTCCTATCAGTGCAGCTCACCAGCACATTATTACCTGTGCAAAGCAAAGGAAACCTTTTATGTTTTTAATTTTTGCTCTTTTTTTCATTTATAGTGCAAAAAATAAAACACCCAGTGGTGATTAAATACCACCAAAAAAAGCTCTATTTGTGTGAAAAAATGATAAAAATTGCATATGGTTACAGTGTTGCATGACCGCACAATTGTCATTGTTAAGTGCAACAGCACTGAAAGTTGAAAATTGTCCTGGGCAGGAAGGGGGTAGAAGTGCCCAGAAGGCAAGTGATTAATTCCAGTGTTGGCACTTTGAAATAAAAAAGTTGGTTTTGTGTTGCAGTTTGGGCACTCGGGCTCTAAAAGGTTCACCATCACTGGTATAGGGTGTCACATGAGTGACAGCTATGAGTCTCCTGGGGTTGCCGACATATCATTCAAGTCAGCAGCAACTTCAGAGGAGATTAGGGTCTTTGTAATGTTGTTCAAGATATACAGTACATGCAAAAGAGATCAGTATCATGCAAATCTTTTCATTGTGTGAGTTAATGTTTTATAAACCTTGTCTTCATGTATAGGTTATATTCTAACAAAGAAAACCGCTAATGGGATTTTGTCGGCAAACAAGATTTAACCAAAATCCCCCTGAAAAACACTTAAACTTTATTTTACACACAGTAAAATCATCCACCTAAATGGGGCATACATTTAATAGACTTGTACAGAATACATATCATATTCACCGAAATGTTAAAACACATATCTTGCACATAACACTCCATGGTACACCCAGTTGTGATCCACTGTATTAGATGTCATTTCACAGTCAGCCTTTCAACTGGAAACATCCAACGTGTTTTGAATTGTAACTACAATAAATTCTTCATCAGGGAAGATAGTACCACACTATGAAAAAAATGTGATATTGTCATTAGACACAAAGACATATTTCATCATACACCTCAACACACAATATTATACAACAAAATATCACAAAACGATTACAGTTTGTCACTTACAAAGAAAGCCAATGTTATCTGCCCATCAGACCATCAGGTAAGCCCCCAATGCACAGAGTGAAGTCTTCCAAGGCGCAACGGAACCACAAAGAGACCAGTTTCTCTCTCAGTGTGAGATGAAAAAAAGGGCATTGTCACCACCCTTTTTAGATTAATTAATATTGAGGTATATTGTTTACTCAAAGATTGGGATATTCCCTTAGGGGACAAACAAGACGAGCTTTATTAGGAATCCAAATAGGGTGGTGACAATGCCCTTTTTTTCATCTCACACTGAGAGACACTGGCCTCTTTGCTCTCTCGCTCCCTCCTCACTGGACTCAGTGACAGCAGTGGGAGCCATTGGCTCCTACTGCTGTCAATCAAATCAGGTAATGACAGTGGGTGGCTAAGCCTCACTGATTGTATCAATAGACACGCACAGCACTGCTCGGGATCCAGTCTGCACATGTGCCACCATAGGAAGCAGATTCCTATGGTGGCAAACAGAAAAGGGGAGGAGCCCAGAGCACCAACGAGGGACCCCAGAAAAGGAGGATCAGGGCTCCTCTGTGCAAAACCATTGAACAGAAAAGGTAAGTATTCCATGTTTGTTATTAAAAAAAAAGAACCTCTACAATCACTTTAATTATACAGAATATTTCTTCTATGAGCAAAGGCTTAAAGTATATCTAGGACAAAATTATTTTAGTACGGAATAGAGTAGGGAAGGGTTTGAGCACCTGTCAGATATTTATTTTTAATGATTTAAAGAGTTTTCACTTTCCAACAATTTCATCACAGCACCCTGCTTTTCAGCATTGAATGGGTCGTTGTTATGTAAAGAAAAATCTATTCATGTAGTACTTTGGGGATGATTTACTAAAATTGGAGAGTGCAAAATCTGGTGCAGCTCTGGATGGAAACCAATCAGCTTCCAGGTTACACAGTTACATAGTTAGTCTGGCTGAAAAAAGACAAAAGTCCATCCAGTTCAACCTTAAAAAAAATAAAAAATAAAAAAAGTTATTATTCTATACCCACAGTTGATCCAGAGGCAAGCAAAAAATACAGCAAAGCATGATCCAATTTGCTCCTGCTGGGAAAAAATTCCTTCCTGATCCCTCGAGAGGCAATCGGATATTCCCTGGATCAACTTTACCTATAAATGTTAGTAACCAGTTATATTATATTTAGGAAAGAATCCAGGACTTTTTTTTAAAGCAATCTACTGAGCTGGCCAGAACCAACTCTTGAGGGAGTCTATTCCACATTTTCACAGCTCTTACAGCGAAGAAACCTTTCCATATTTGGAAGTTAAATCTCTTTTCTCCAGACGTAAAGAGTGCCTTTGTGATGACCTCAGGGTGAATAACTCTACACTGAGTTCACTATATGAACCACTGATGTATTTATGCATGTTGATCATATCCCCCCTTAATCTCCTCTTCTCAGGAGAGAATAAATTCAGTTCCTGTAATCTTTCCTCATAGCTGAGCTCCTCCATGCCTCGTATCAGTTTGGTTGCCCTTCTCTGTACTTTCTCCAGTTCCCCAATGTTCTTTTTTGTGAATTGGTGCCCAAAACTGAACTGCATATTCCAGATGAGGTGTTACTAATGATTTGTACCGGGGTAATATGATATCTCTCTCTCTGGAGTCTATACCTCTTTTAATACAAGGGAGGATTTTGCTCGCTTTAGAAACCGCAGCTTGGCATTGCATGCCATTATGATCTTGTGATCTACCAGAACTCCCAGATCCTTCTCCACCATTGATTCCCCCAGTTGTACCCCCCTAGTATGTATGATGCATGCAGATTCTTAGCCCCCAAGTGTAGAACCTTACATTTATCAACCGTAAACCTCATTTGCCACATAGTTGCCCAATTACACAGAGCATTGAGGTCGGCTTGTAAGTTGGAGACATCCTGTAAGGACGTTATTCCACTGCACAGCTTGGTGACATCTGCAAAGATTGAAATGGGATTTTTAATCCCAGACCCTATATCATATATAAATATATTAAAAAGTAAGGGTCCCAACACTGAACCTTGGGGTACACCACTGACAACCCCAGACCATTCAGAGTATGAATCATTAACCACTACTCTCTGAATACCATCTTTTAGCCAGTTTTCTAGCCATTTACATACTGATTTTTCCAAGCCTGTAGACTTTACCTTACACATTAGCCATGTGTGGGGAACTGTGGCAAATGCTCTCTGTCCAAGGTTTTGTCACCCCCTCATAAAAAGATATCAGATTTGTTTGACAGCTTCTGTCTTCCCTGAATCCATGCTTTCTGTTGTGTAAAATTTTTTTTTTCAGCAAGAACTCATCTATGTGGTCTTTTATTAAACTCTCCAGCATCTTCCCAACCATGGTTGTGAAACTAACAGATCTATAATTACTTGGTAAAGATTTTGACCCCTTGGATGATATCCATCTTTTTAAGACTGTAATGTCAGACTTTGTTTTTGGTTGTTTTTAAGAGGATACTTAGACTGGCCTAAAAGGCCTTTTGCATCTCGCTCACAGTCCACTTCAGACTGTAAAAGAGTCAGGGTGGCTACAATTGGTCCTTCTAGGTGTTGAACTACGTCACCTGGAGTTTCAGCACTGTCTGGGGCCATTTGCAGTAGCTGACTACATCCAAATTGCTCTGAAGTGTTTGGCTCCCATGATCCAACTAACTATGCTCCTCCCATCCTGGCATTTACAATTACCGGCCACTTTATTAGGTACACCTGTTCAATTGCTTGGTAGCACAAATTGCTAATCTGCCAATCACAAGGCAGCAACTCAATGCATTTAGGAATCTAGACATGGTGGAGACGACTTACTGAAGTACAAACCGAGCATCAGAATGGGGAAGAAAGGGTATTTAAGTGAATTTGAACGTGGCATGGTTGTTGGTGCCAGACAGGCTGGTCTGAGTATTTCAGAAACTGGTGATCTACTGGGATTTTCACACACAACCACCTCTAGGGTTTACAGAGAATGGTCAGAAAAAGAGAGAAAATATCCAGTTGTGTGGAAAATAATGCCTTGTTGATGTCAGAGGTCAGAGGAGATTGGGCAGACTGGTTCATTAGAAAGGCAACAGTAACTCATCTCAATATGGACTAAATGTTGGAGGAATGTTTCCAACACCTTGTTGAATTTATTACTTGAAGAATTAAGACAATTCTGAAGGCAAAGGGGGTCTAACCCGGAATTTGCAAGGTACTGGCACCTAATAAAGTGGCCGGTGGGTGTATATTTGCACTAAGTCCACCCACTACATCACTACAGGAAGTTTTTTTTCTCAAAGGAGCCTAACACCCAATCACATCATTTCCATTACAACACTACCTGAAACTGCATATGGTCAATGTTGGAGATAGTTTGTCTATTGGCATGCTCAGACTGTGCACTGGAAGTTGCATTAGTCAATACATTGGGTTCAATTCAGTCAGTCTATTGGCAAGCTCAGACTGTGCACTGGAAGTTGCATTAGTCAATACATTGGGTTCAATTCTTGTACCCTGACCCAGTTGCACTATACCAGAACCATTTTTACCCAAGATAAGCAGAGCCCCTTCTGCTACAGGCTCTGCTGTTCTTGGATATCTGCCTCATGTAAATCACAAAGCTAATCTTTCTTTGATTTGCAGTATGTTTCAATCTGTCTTGGACTTGGTGTCACACTTTCATCCGACTACCTTTTCTAATTTTCTTGTACTCTTCTAGATCAGGTATGATTACAAAATAAAAGACAGAAAAACAAAGGATTGGGAGGGAACTGCTAACTGTACTGTATGTCTCGCTACATAATGTATATACGGTATGTAGAACAATCTCTATGTAGAACAATCCCAATAAGCTGTCAACTAGATGTGACACTAATGATTTACACAGAACTATCCCCCTGCTGCCACCAGAATATCATAATTCAACTCTCAGCATTGCCCTACACAGGGATTTGCACCTTGCTTGAGGGAAAAACAATCGAACCACCAGCAGTTTGGGAGCAATCATCACTGGGGTAGGTTAACAGAGAAGTTGACCCTTTACACACATACACAGATGTGTTTTAATGGAAATATACACCATTCACAGCATCTGCTGTTTCAATGCTGATCTTTGAAGAAAATGTCTATATCACTTGCTGCCATGCTCGGACAGGAATGCCACAGATCATTTCCGAGATTCAGCCTAACACAGTTTTTAAAATATACTTTTATTGAAATAAACAGCAAAAGAATAATTTACAGAAACAATATTACAAATCAGACAATCAACAGCAAAAACAAAAGATTTTAATCACTTAAGAGCTAACCTCATAGCAGAAATACTGCTACAGGGTGGATCCGCTGTGCAAAATCATGTATATATGTGATTTTGTGTTTCCGGTTGGGTGCACGTTGTTGTCTGGATATGTCAATCACCGGGTCACGGATGGCGATTCCTGGACAGGACTCAGTGATTGCCAGCAGGGCTGAGAGGGAAGAGATCTGTGTGTAAACAGCAGAGAGATACAAAGCAGCATGTCTCCCAAGCAGGGGCAGACTGACCATTTGGAAACTCGGGCATGCCCGAGGGCCCGGGGTCAGTAGGGGGCCCCATGAGATGTCCCTGGTACCTTTTTCATAGGCTTTTTGAGTTTGGGCAAGGACACAGGGGCCCCATGATCCCTATTGCCCGGGGCCCTATGAGTTTCAGTCCGCCCCTGCTCCCAAGTAAAACACACACAGCACACAGTTAACCCTTTCACCGCCCCAGATTGTTAACCCTTCCTGCCCAGTGTCATTAGTACAGTGTCAGTTTTTTTATTAGCACTGATCACTGTATTAGTGTCACTGGGGATGTCAGTGGCAGTTAGTCAGTTCCCCTCCTAGTATCAGAATGCCCACTGCAGTCCCACTAAAAGTCGCTGATTGCCACCATTTTACTAGTATAAAAAAAGATAAAAATAAAAATTCCAGTATCTACACCATTTGTAAAACGTTATAACTTTCATGTAAACCAATTAATATACACTTATTGGGATTTTTGTTTAGCAAAGACATGTAGCAGAATACATTTTGGCTAAATTTATGAAAACATTTTATATTTTTTTACTTTTTATTGGATATATTTTTATAGCAAAAAATTCAAAAAATATTGTCTTTTTTCAAAATTGTTAGTCTTTTTTTGTTTATAGCGCAAAAAATAAAAAAACTGCAGAGGTGATCAAATACCACCAAAAGAATGCTCTATTTGTGGGAAAAAAGGACATAAATTTCCTTTGGGTGCATCATTGTATGACCGCGCAATTATCAGTTAGAGTAACGCAGCACTCTATCACAAAAAATGGCCTGGTCAGGAAGGGGAGTAAATCCTCTAGAGGGCAAATAAGCCCCAAAACTTCAGTTTAGCCTTTTTTGATCTTTGGTTTAGTGCAGAGGTCAGATTATTTGCAGAGTTAGCTCAATTTTATATAGCAGAGTCACTGGCCCTCAGAACCATGACTCCCAGTATCCTTAGTAGTTTCGTTGTCAAACGAGAGCCTAGACCAGCTAATGCCACAGATTTTGACGTGGAGAGGGGGTAAAAGAGCTAACAACCACTGAATCAAAAAATCTGAGTGGTGGTGTTGAAGGTGTGCTGGAGTGTTTTACAATGCACACCCTTAAAGTGGTTGTAAAGATTTTTTTTTTTAATTAAATAACAAACATGTTATTTTTAGTTTTGCACAAGGTGGCCTGGAACCTCCTCTTCTGTTTCTGCCCCCCCTAGCAAGCCACTTGCTATGGGAACAGACATTCAGGTCCGCTCCTGAGCCAAGCTGTCTGCCTCTATAGACCACACACGGTGTAGCGTGGCCCTGCCCCCTGCACCATCCTCACATGATTTGATTGCCACCAATGGCTCTTACTGCTTTCAGCTAAGTCTGTGAGAGCGAGGAGAGGGAAGAAAAGAACCAAAGCCAGGCACAATGTTGGATTGATACAGGACTCAGGTAAGTGTTTAATGGGGCAGGCAGGGGGAGCAGGAACTGCTATTTTGTAAGGCTTTTTTACATTGCTGTAGAGAATGCAGTAAGGCAAAAAAAAAACCCTTTTCTCTTTACAATCACTGTCAACTGTCCTGGGCACATCTATTGTACATTTGCAATGTTTTACAATCTGCAAGCCATGAAATTATTTATTAGAATGAAACTACAATTTGTTAGATACCAAATATGTACAGTATATCTGATGTATATTTCTACTAGCTTTGGTGTGTCCTATAAGCCTTCTGGACCTTGTAAAATAGGCATGCTTGGTGTCTAATTGATTAGTGTCTTCTTATACATTAGTGTTAATCCCTTGTTACAAATGCAATTCCATTAGAGCAGGAATTATGGAATATATATAGAGTTTTCCTCTGTAAATTTCTGTTTTAGGCAACAAAAAAAAAAAAAAAACAGATTTGCAGACTGTTTTATGACTTGACAATTTATGATAGGTTCTCATTAGAAATCCTTTAATGACCCTCTAGCAGGAGGTTATGACGTCCCTTTATTCTTGCTTAGATGGCCTGTGTCATGTCAAATGTATTTTTGCTTCATAGCTGCTGAAGCACAGACACGAGATGCAAATCTGACCATTTTTGTTACCGACTTGCACATTCTAGAGAAGATGAGGGTGGCTAGTAGAGATGAGCGAATTATTCAAAAATTTGATTCGACTGATTCGGCGAATTCGTGAAAAAATTTTGATTCGAGTCGAATATATTCGCTGCGAATTTAACTTATAAAAGGGTGTTTCTAGGCTTCAGAGAGCCTTTATATTAGTGCAGAACACTGTACCTTTAATTTAAATGCCCTTGGAGTCTGCTGGGGAAGAGAAATAATACTGACAGTCAGTATGACATGCAGATGAGTGCCGTCGATCTTAGAATCACCGCACACTTCACTCATTTGGGCAGTCACGGGGCCAAAACCAGAGTGTGGAGCCACAGTGTGTGCGCGTGGAGGCAGCAGCAATGGGAGGCCATACAGCACCCTATGACAAAAATGGAAACCACCAGCAGTGTGAGGAGACCTGAAAGTGGCACATGGCAGAGTGTGGCGATGGAGACAGCAGCAATGGGAAGCCGTACAGGGACCCATGACACACTCTGGACCTGGCAGCAGCATGAGGAGGTGGTACAGGGGCCCATGACAGATTACGGGCCTGGCAGCAGCATGAGGAGTTGGTACGGGGGCCCATGGCAGATTACGGGTCTGGCAGCAGCAATGGGAGGCCGTACAGGGACCCATGACACACTCTGGACCTGGCAGCAGCATGAGGAGGCGGTACAGGGGCCCATGACAGATTACGGGCCTGGCAGCAGCATGAGGAGTCAGTACGGGGGCCCATGACACACTCTGGACCTGGCAGCAGCATGAGGAGGCGGTACAAGGGCGCATGACAGATTACGAGCCTGGCAGCAGCAAGCATACTTGGACAGGAGGACGTTCAGCTTCTGCAAGCACGTCGGGTGCGTGCTCGCAAACTGTTGTCACTCTTGGAAACGGATTCCAAGAAAGACTGCTGACGGAATCCGTGAAGAGGAGTAGCAGGAGAAGGAGCATCTGAACGAGCGGGAATATGCCAACAAGCGACAACAGGGGCACATGACAGATTACGGGCCTGGCAGCA